TCCTGCAATACCCATCCCCATCTTCCTTACTTTAGATGTGGCAGGCAGGGAAGAGACAAGCTTCCAGGGCCTTCAGCTTGTACGCCAACATCGACATCCTGAGACCCTACTTTGATGTGGAACCTGCCCAGGTGCGAAGCAGGTGAGGATCCTTTTCCTGACGAAGCTTCCCTCCTAACACTAGTCCTTCTTCCAAACTACAGCCAGATTTCAAGCTTCGGGCTCTGTTGGACTCCCCTTCTTCATGACTCTATCACCTCTCATCACTACATTTGTCACTGTATACAATGGCGATAACACATCACCATTTTGTGATAACACATCACAAACACATTTTTCCCTCAAAACTGAGCTCAAATGTCACTTCCTTTGATACATATTCCTTTAACGCCATTCCTAGTTTGTTCTTTCCTGGTGCTCCTACAGAATGCCCCACTTTCCTCTAACAGATAGCACTTCAGCACTGCTATACCTCATTATCTGTCCCCCCAGAGCCTAACAACTCCTCAAAAGCAGATTCTCTTGTTTATTTTTTCATTCCCAGCACCAAAACAGTGTGAACCAGAATATGGAGCCATAGTTGTCGAGTGATTTTTCAAGAACTGGATTTAATTCTGGCTTGGTTTTTTTGTTCATCCCTTAGTCAATGCTTATTAAATACCCAAGACCACTCAGCAAGTGTTTATCAAGCATTTGCTCTGTGCCAGGCCCTATACTATTTGTGTCTAATTAGTAGTGAATGTGAACGGGAGCCTTGCCCTTGGGTCCAGTTACAATACAGTACTCATATGCTACGATGGGGCACATAGGAAGGACACTTGAGCCATAGTAGGTTGGTGGGTGGGACAGGACAGGTTTCCTAAAGGAAGTAAAATCTAGCTAAAATCCAAAATATTATTAGGAGCTAACCACTTAAGAGAGAGGCTAAGTATCTGAATTTTCATACTACTACAAATATCTTTTCCAAGAAAATGCTCAGTGGTGCCTGGAGGAACAGTTAAGCAGGGAAAGGCAGAATTCAAACTCACTAGTTCCCTCAATAACACCTTCTAAACGTTTCCCAAGGTTTCACCATCACAGCCCTGAATTCCAGTACTCTCTGCTGAGGTTTGCCTGTCTTTTAAAGGGGAATAGATCAAATAGGTAAATGGTCAGGCCCTCTCCTAAGGCCCAGCCTAACTCTCTGAGTTCTCCCTCCATATAGGTGTTCAGCTGCTTCAGGCAGCTCAGTTTCAGAGGGTTGTCTTTCCTGAACATAATTTTAGGGGCAAGGAAGGTATTTTCTCAATTCCTTATCTGTCTTTACTACCCTTTCCTCCCCCTGTCATCCAGCATGTCCTCTGGGCCAGGCCCCATTCCCTGGAGTTAGAGAGATGAATAAGATTCAGGCCTTGCCCTCCAGTACCTTGTAGCCTAGTGCTGCCTCTGCTCTCATCTCTTCTCTCCTCTCCCAGGCTCCTGGAGTCCATGATCCCTATCAAGATGGTCAACTTCCCCCAGGTGAATAGGAGGTGGCGTGGCTAGAGCTGGGGGAGGCACCAGGGCGGAGGGTGGGGCCACCAGGCACAGCCTGGGAAGGCATAAACAGAAGAGCCATTGTACCCTCCAGCCTGAATGAGTTGGTATATTGACAGAAAATCGCAGGTGAACTCTACGGACCTCTTATGCTGGTCTTCACCCTGGTTGCCATCCTCCTCCATGGGATGAAGACATCTGACACCATTATTGTAAGCAGGACAGAGCACTTTGGGGGGTGGCTGAACTAGGTTGAAAGCTGCCCAAGGATGTGGTGGAGTGAAGCAGGAGCAGCTCCTGGGGAAAGCCCTGGGTGAAGCTGAGATCACAGGCCTCCCAGGACTAAGTCAGAGCCTTTACCCCACAGCGGGAGGGCACCCTGATGGGCACAGCCATTGGCACCTGCTTCGGCTACTGGCTAGGCGTCTCGTCCTTCATTTACTTCCTCGCCTACCTGTGCAACGCCCAGATCACCATGCTCCAGATGTTGGCACTGCTGGTAAGGAACCAGGCATGGTAGTAGGCAAGAGTGATCTTAAAAAGAGAAGCCAGTCCTTTGTCTTCCTCTGTCCTGGGGCCCCAGAGCCTGGAATGGGAGGAGCAGGCTAATGAACCATCTATCTCTGAGGGTCCTCATGAGGGGCCAGAGGCCAGCTCAAAGCCTGAGTGATTTTCCTCTCGACCATCCTCCTTCCTAGGGCTATGGCCTCTTTGGGCACTGCATTGTCCTGTTCATCACCTATAACATCCACCTCCATGCCCTCTTCTACCTCTTCTGGCTGCTAGTGGGTGGGCTGTCCACCCTGCGCATGGTAAGCTGGGCAAGAGGTTTCCAGGGGTGAGCTGTCCTCCCAGGGAGTTGGGGAAGACAGTCTGGAGCTGTCCACCCCACAAAGGGCCCTAAATGGGACAGAAGGGCCCAACGATGGTTCTGCCCTGGGTGGGATTGTCTTCTCCCCACTCCTCATTTTGGAACCAAGCCCCCTGAGCTGTATTCCTGTGGCTCTAGGTGGCAGTGTTGGTGTCTCGGACTGTTGGCCCCACACAGCGGCTGCTCCTCTGTGGCACCCTGGCTGCTCTGCACATGCTTTTCCTGCTCTACCTGCATTTTGCCTACCACAAGGTGGTAGAGGGTAAGTGGCAGGAAGGCCTGAGTGAGGGTAGAGGGAGAGAACAGTGCCTCGGGCAGAGGGCTGGATGAGATGGCCTATGGGTAGGGCCTAGCCAACTCTTGCTCACCTCCATCTTCCTTCTTCCAGGGATCCTGGACACACTGGAGGGCCCCAACATCCCGCCCATACAGAGAGTCCCCAGAGACATCCCTGCCGTACTCCCTGCTGCTAGGCTTTCCTCCACTATGCTCAATGCCACAGCCAAGGCTGTTGTGGTGACCTTGCAGTCACACTGACCCCATCTGAAATCCTTGGCCAGCCTGCTCTCCCCCAGCTGTGGAGTGGAGGAAGATTAAAGGACAGTACTGATGACATGTATCTCTTTGATGGGGTCTGCAGCTGCCACTCAGCTGTAGCTGCTTAAGAACCTCCTTGATGCCTGTCGGGGCTTCTGAAGGGCACAAGGCCAGGAACTCCTGACCAGGACTGCAAGGCTGTGCAGCCAGTGCAGAAAATGGGTCAGCTCCTCTGAGGCCCCCTTACCACCTACCCCTTCCTTCCTCTTTCTCTCCCACATTGTCTTGCTAAATATAGACTTGTAATTAAAATGTTGATGAAAGTCTGGAACTGCAGCTACCAATACAGTGGTCCTCCCTGTAACCCTCCTTCCTGTACACTTTCCTGTTCTGTCAGCAGTGGTAATGTCACATGTTCCCTTCCTTATCCCCTCCCATAGGCAGGATGAAGATGGGACAGGCCAGACTGCAGAGAGGGCAGTGATGGAATATGGAAGCTGCCCCCTAGGGCAGGGGAACCTGCCCCATGGAGCAGCAGGGAGGCCTCTAGCACAGGAGCCATGAGCCTGTTGGAACAGTGTACTCAGCTTGAGACTGGGCTCAGTTGCACTCCTGGGAAGCCAATGAGCAATGACAATCGGACAAAAACTTCCAGACTTAAACCCCATGTCATTACAAGGACCTTCTGCACCTGGGTGGTGGGGGGGCTAGTTTTCCTATGGGGTTCACATTTGAAGCCAAACTTAACTTTGCCTGGTTGTGCTGTGGCTAGCTCCCTTCATTTTTTCTCTGCCCTTGCTCTTCAAGAGTGCCGTTTTCTCTTAAAAACAACCCTCACCCCCTCTTTAGTTTGCTTCACTTAAGAGTTAATCCAGGTGGTTATTAGAGGGAATAGGGCCTTTGACCTCCCTTCACTACACTTGGTGTATTTTTTTAATCCTCTCATTACCGTAGTAAATCTAGGTCAGCAGCATCTGTCCCTCCAAATAAAGGGACTGACAGGTGCCCTTCATTTGCCCTGTGTCCTACAGGTGGGGCAGGCACCATGCTAGCCAGTGGACAGAGTTCTAACGGCACTGCCTGCGCTGTGCAGTGTGCTCCCGCCGACTTTACACGGTCCTCACCGGCACCCCTTTATAATGGCCACCCCAGCCTCGCTGGCACTGAGACCATCTCAGGGCATCAGCAGTGCCCTGCACACCTGGGGAAGGGGCAGCAGCAGGACCCTGCATCCACCTGGGGCTCACGTGCCCTAGGAATCCCTTTGGGGTTCCCTTGTCCCTAGCCCCTCAGGCTGGCTTGACAGAGCCGTCGCCCTTGGAGCACCCCGGTGAGGTCGCCATCTTAGCTGGGAGGAGGAGGGAGTCCTCGCGGGCCGGAATCCCCATGCACGCTGCACCTCGCGTCACGGGGGCGTGGCACGGATTACAGGCCCTAGGGACTTCCAAACAGGAGGGTGCAGTGCCTGGGAGGCCGGCGAAGGCGCCCAGGGTCTGGACCTTAGGAATGGGGAACGACGGGCGAATGGGCAAGAGAACAGGTAACAGTGTCAAACGCCATCTCCACGTGACGTGCTTCCACTCCCCCTCACTATCACCCCTCCCCGCCCCCCGCCCGTCCTAGGCCTCAGCCCAGCTACCTTCTTTCTGTCTGCTGGGTGGCCCCACACCGCGGGGCTGAATGTCCACTGCTCCGAGCTCCTTGCCCGGAGCCACCGTGCGCGCGAACCTCGTGGGCCAGCGTGGCCTAGGCCGGGCAGGGGGCGGGGCGCGCGGCGGTGACGCGGCCGTTGCCATGGGAACCGACCGCCGGCACGGGCGCAGGAGCCCGAGCCCGTGCAGCAGCCCGCTTCGGGCTCTCTGCGCGAGCAGTGCGGCCAGGCCCCCTTGGCGGCCGAGGGGGCCGAGCGGGAGACAGGAAGGGGGCGGGGGCGGCGCCGGAGCAGGGACCGGTCCGGCGCGTCCTAAGCCCAAGACCCCGAGCAGCCGCCGGCGCCGCAACCGCGAGGAGCAAGGACAAGCGCGGAGCAGCGCCGGCCCGACACCCGGATCGCGCGCCCAGCCCGCCGCCCAGACTCGGACAGCACGGTCCGCCGCCGCCCCAGCGCCGCTCGTCTCAGCCCGGCCGGCGACCTCTAAGCTCCGCACCCCGGGCCCGCCCCGGCGCCTCAGCCTCCGCCCCCAGTCCGTCTGCGACCCCAGCGGGGTCCCAGACCCCGGCCCTTCTTGAGGCCCCGCCAACCTCCGCCCCGGCCCCGGGCCCCCCGGAGGCCCAGCCGTGGGCACGATGCTGCCCAGCTCCATCCAGATTTCGGGAGAACCGCTGTCAGGCGCCGAGGTGCGGGACATCTGCCGCGGCCTGCGCGACAACGCCGTGCGCCTGCTCTCACTGCGCGGCTGCCGCCTCTGCGACCGCGACTTCGGCCGCATCTGCCGGGCCCTGGCTGGGGCCACGTCCCTGGCGCAGCTCAACCTTAACCTGGGTGTCGTGTCCAGCCCCAGCCGCATCAAGCAGTTGGCGGAGGCGCTGCGGACCAACCGCTCCATCCAGTCCCTCTTGTGAGTGCGCCCCCTAGCAAGGGGGTCCCGGGTGCTGCACACCTCCACGCACTCCCCCTGCCACCTCCTCCTTTCCACGCGCCTTCTAGTACTGTCTTTCCACCAGCCCACCTCCGCACGCCCTATCCACGCTCTTCATCCCTGGGCCAGTCTCCACGGCACCCTCCACACACCCCTCATCTCCAGACTTTCTGCACGAGACCCCACCCCAGATGGGATACACCCCGCTTCCTGGCAGGGCATGTCGTGCCTCCCCGCCTACTAGCCCGCATGTACTTCGCTGAGGCAGCTCCTCCATTCCCAAGAGGGAATACCCCAGTAGCTCTGTCCCTGCGTCCTGCCCATGGAATTCCAGTCCACCCACACACCCATTCTCTGCCCCTCCCTGTGCAATGTCCTGGATCTGAGTCCCTGCCCCAGAAAAGAAACCAAATTCCCCTTCTACCTGTATTCCCTTAGAATCTAGAATGTTCTTTCTCCCTTCCCATGCCTCTCAAGTGCTGCGACTGAGTGCCCTCCCTGCCCCTAGGACTTACATAAGTGAAGGTGCCCCTTCCCCATATACATAGGACTGATGACTGCAATAACTCTGCTCTCTCGTCACCCGGCAGCCTGCATGGGAGCCCCTTGACGGATGCGGGGCTGGCCTTGCTGAACCCAGCCCTGGCACTCCACCCTGCCCTTGTGGCTCTGGACCTGGGAGACTGCATGCTGGGTGACGAAGCCATCAACCTCATCTGTGGCCTCCTCCCCCCAGATGGGGCCAAGTCTGGTGAGCAGGGCCCTGCTGAGGGCATGGGCTAGTGTGGCCTTGATGAAAAGTTAGGCGCAGAGGGAAGGGGGCGTGGCCCAGAGCCCAGGGCTCTGAGGGTGTGGATGGGAATGTGTCTTACTCCTCTCAGAAAGGAGGATGGGTGGGCTGAGCCTGGTGGAGACTCAGGAATCCAGGCTGGGGCAGGCAGGGGAGGCTTGAGTCCTTAGTGGCTCCAGAGCTCTGTGGGGGAGATGGAGTGACTCCCAACCACCAGGGACACTCAGAGACATGGGGACAGCAGGGAAGGGGCTCAAGGAAGGTCTAACCCTCCCTATTCTGGCTTCTGTCTATGGTGCTGCCCAGGCTTGAAGGAGCTAACACTGAGTGCCAACCCTGGCATCACCCCTAAGGGCTGGAGCCGCCTTGCCATTGCTGTGGCCCACAGCTCCCAGGTCCGCGTCCTCAATCTGGATTACAACCCCCTAGGTGAGGCTCAAGGATGCCCCTTGGATTCTTACCACCCCATGCCCTATCCAAGAGCCCAGGACCTTCAGTTGCCATGGTAACCTCCAATCTGGGGAAGGGAAGAGGTAGGAAAGCTTCCAGGGTCTAGGAGGTGGTAAAGGAGCCATCCTATGTGGATGACCGGATGACCAGATGACCAACATGCAGATCAAAGCACCAGTCATCACCCCTGGGCCTGACATGCTTGGTCCCTTCACTCCCACCAATCACAATGATCCACTCCTGGCCACCCACCAATTGTCAGTGTCCCACCAGGAGGTGGGATCTAAGGCTATTAGGGTAAAGGGGAAGCTGTTCAGGAGGAAGGGCTAGCTGGCCTCTGTGAACACAGGTGAATGTGTGTGTGTGCGTGCTCTCTCCAGGTGACCATGTGGCAGGGATGCTGGCTGTAGCTGTGGCCTCCAGCCGTACCCTAGAAGTCCTAGACTTGGAGGGCACAGGGCTCACCAACCAGTCAGCTCAGGTGAGAAGTCATGTTTGGGGACAAGCCAGGGGATGGGGTGGAGGTTAGCCTGTATGTCTGTAGACATACCCAATGGGTGGCAGATTGGGGTCTGAGACCCTGTTATCTTTTTCCATACTCTTCCCCACCCCAGACCCTGCTGGACATGGTAGAAAATTATCCCACAGCCTTGAGGAGCCTGGTGTTGGCTGAGAACAGCATTAGCCCAGAGCTGCAGCAGCAGATCTGTGACCTCCTCTCTGAAGGGGAGGAAGAGGAGGAGGTCATAGGAGGGGCAGGCGACACCCAGGAATGGGAGAGAGGCCGGGAGCCTGCTGCCCACCAGAGGAGCAGTACCTCCTGGATGTGCTCCAGCGGTAAGAACCCAGAGGGTTGATCATAGACAGGGCTGGAAGAGGCTTGGGACAAGGGAGAGTGGGTGTTGGAAACCTAACCCATCTCTCACCTATTTGTGGTCCCCAGTGGAAGAATGAATGGTGGTCTGAACACCCCTCTGCCCTTCCACAGATCCCAGCTCTCACATGGTGCTAATGACGTCAGGACTAGGGGACAGTCTGTTGGCTGAGACCGAGATGTGACTCTGCACTTGGACTTCTGCATATCATTACATTTGTCTGTCTCCAGCACCTCACCCCGGATATCAGGGTCAGGCCCTGGGCCTTGGGAGGGAGTGGGGGGCGGGGGTTGCCTGGGGCTCTGGCAGTTCCTGGCAGTGTGATGGGAAGGAAGCTCTGGATGCTGTGACTGGGCAACAGCCTTGGGGGGCACTTGAACCCAGGGCACTGCCTCTGGACTTGTTGGCAGCTCTAGCTGCAACCCGCTGGCTCGGAAGAGATTTTATGAATTCCACAACCTGGTGTGTGGCTGTGGTCACTGGGGCTGGCAGTATGGGAGGAATTGCAACTACCGTCTAATACCACTAGGGGGCAGTATCACCCCAGGCATAGCCCAAGTTCCAGGCTGCGTGAACTGGTCCAAAATTTCTCAGAACAGCCCTGGCCCAGTCTGGGACACCTTCCACAGGCCCTGTAAAGATCATAACTAAAGAGTTCACCTCCAGAGGACCAGACCCTTCCTCCAAAGGGAGACTCAGGGGCCCTGCTGAGGTTACTGAGGTACCCCTCTCCCACTGCCTGCTGCTCTGTCCCAAAGGAAGGAAGCCCCAGGCAGAGTGGGGCAAGGAGGAATCACCAGTAGAGTAGGGTAAGACTAGGACTGGGAGTACTGAAGAATGGGGAGAAGTGTGGGAGAGGGAAGGTCATTAAGACAAATTAGGTCATACCAGTAAAATAGTTTTATTTAATTTTAAAATAGTCATCAATGCGAAAATTTCCCAAAGCTGGGAGTAACAGTCTAGAGCCAAGGTTGGGAGGGGAGCCAGGCCTCACCTAGAGCCCAGCTTGAGGCCCCTAAACCCCACCCTCCCTTCCAGAGGGAGGGAGGAAACAGCTGAAGGGAGCCCTGAGTCAGTCCTCTCCCTTATCCCCAAGGGCCAGCTGCGCCACACCCCTGTGGGCAACAGCTCATGGAGAGATGTTGGGAGAGAGGGAAACAGGCAGAAAGCAGGAATTAGAGGTTAATGACCCCAATGACCGCCCCCCAAAATAAACAAAACTCATGACTATGAAAGGAGGATGGAAGATGAACACTGATAAATTCCTCAGCTCCCCAGAACAGCCCAATCTGGGCTGGGTGGATTGGAGGAAAGGGCTTGAGACCCATCTGCATGTTACCTTTGGAGAATAAATATTCCAAGAAGAAAAGAAAAAACCATGAGGCAAACTGTTGCCAGTCACAGTCAACGCAGCTGAAAGGCCTGGTGTGGCCCACCACCTCAGCCAGCCCAGGGCAGAGCTGTGCAAGTCTGAGAGGGAGAGTTCTAGGGCTGGGGACCCTGAGCTGCAAGGGTGTGTGCCTCCTTGCAGTCCCAGTGTAGCAGTGGCAGGAAGGCAAGCGGGGGTCCTAGTTGAGCAGGTTGCCCTGCTCCTGGGCCTGGGTCAGGCTGTCCTTGCGGTGCAGGTGGTGTACCCCCATTCTTTTGGGGCTGCGCTGGGGGCGGCTGGAGCTAGGGAGTGGCCAGGCCCTTCCCTCAGCGTGGGAAGTGCTAGGCCCCTCCTCTGTGCCACTATCACTGGGTAGCAGGCTCTGGCGCTCTTCCTCAGGGCTGATGGGCAGGTTCAGCTCTTCTTCTTCCTCCTCCCTGGGAAAGCCAGAGTCAGGTTCTGTTGGTAGCAAAAGCCCACTTTCATCGGCTACGGAAGAAGGTGCCTGAACCACCTCATCCCTGTCAGTGGGGCTAAGAGCAAAATGGCGCTGCAGCTCAGGGAGCGCATCACATCCAAAGGCTGTGCGCTGGGCCACGGCGGCAGGTGGCGGAGTGCGGTCCACAAATGCTCGCTGCCAGCTGGCCAGCAGGTCCTCTTCTGAGCTGGCGGAGCTGGCTGGGGCACTGAGCGCTGGGGCGGCTGGGCTGGGCTGGTGGTGGGGTGAGGCCTGGGCTGAGGCAGGGCCACTGGGCACCAGGCTGGGGCGGACCCGCTCACTCCCCTCCTCCACCAGGCTCAGCGAAATGGCCTGGCGGGTAGCGTAAGTGCAGTTGGGCAGGGGACTATTGCGGGGAATCCGAACCTTATCCTCAGAGAACTCTATTACCCTGCGGCCAGGATACAGTGGGTGCGGTGGAGATGGGGTGGGGTAGGGGCTTAGCTTCTCAAAGGCTGGCAGGGGCAGCTCCTCCTCTGGGGAGCCCCCTGCAGTACCCAGAGAGTGGCACTCCCCATTGGGTTGGGGGGTGGGGCTGCCAGAGGCAGGGGGACTGGCTGGATCACCTGAGGCACCCCCACTCATGTCCACGTGCACAAAGACATCCTCAGCCAAGGGGCGCCCAGCACTGCCCGACTGTGCTGAATTGAGCAGTAGAGACTCTGGCTTCTCCAACACCCGGGCAATGACTGAGGTAGGCACCACAGACCCTGGGGCCAGGCTGGGAGCAGGACCTGGGCTGGCAGCCTCTTGACCATTGTGCAGATGTTTTCGAACCATGTCCTGTAGCTCACAGGGCAGCTGAGGTGAAGGAGCAGAAGGGAAGAGAGATATAAATGGTTGCAGCTGGAGATAGTCTGATTCACAGCAAAAATAATGGCTACCACGTTCAAGTACCACTGTGTTCTCACTGCATGCCAACGCATAACCTCGTTTCACAGATAAACAGGCTTGGTGTGGATAAAATAACTTAAAGCTTTTGATTAACACAGGCAGGATTTGAACCCAGATCTGCTGCTGCTGAGACCTGTGTGCTCTCAAATTTCTATTTTTCCCACCTCAGCAGTGGCTTCTGCCCAAACCAGACTTAAGTTTGGAGAATCTGTACTGACCAGTGGCCTTAGAAATACCTCTACTTTTACCTCTGCATCAACCTTGGGCCTGAGGCTTTGGGGTCTAGAGTGTGCCCCTTGGGGTAACAGGACCAGATGGGCCTAATCCTCTTGCAATATGCTATGGCTTACAGCTCTGGCCATTCCCTCTTCAGGACCTTCCTGCAGGGGATCCTAAACTGAGTCCCTTTCTCCCTGTCTCTTATAGAAACACCAATGGGTTAGCCCCATAGCACTAGCAATGAGCCCTTCACAGCATACAGGACACCAACCAGTGGCAGAGTTGACTGGCCTAAGAGGCAACATGGAGGCAAGAGGAAGGCAAAGTGGAAAGGGGGGAGTTAAAGGCAGGAGGATGGAGAGAGGTGCAGAAACTGGAGTTAGAGGAAATCTAAGATCGCTGGAATAGTATGTGTGGGGGGTGTTCTACTCACATCAGCGAACTTGTGGTTACGGAAGTGGGACTTGTTGCACTTAAGGAGCTGCACAGCCAGGTTGCAGTCCAGCCGGTACCGCTCCTACAGATACAGACATGGTTCAGAGCCCAGCCCAGCCCTGCCCACGGGAGCAAGGTGGGGCCAGGACAAAGCTAACCAAAGGCAAGGAAGGCCTGAGCAGGCGAAGTACGCGTACATTGAGCTCCTCCAGCTTGTTGATGGTGTTCTTGGCATCCAGCAACTTGTTGGTCAGCTCCACAATCTCCCAGTCCAGTGTCTTCCTATCCATCTCAGCCTTCTTGATCTGAGGCACAGACTTATGGTAAACCCAGCCCATACCCCAACCAGCCCTTCCTCCCCTGCCTCCTCCCACCTCAGAGACACAGGAGGCCACAGGTGCTAGGGCAGCCAAGGCGGACAGACCAGAGACAATGACAGACAGACAGAAGGAGACCAGGAACCTCTCCTGCTCTCCAGGCTGGCTGAGGAGGGAGGGGGAATTTTCTGACCATGACCTCCTGCCATCTGGGCCCAGGACAAAAGCAGTTTTGGAGCTGCCCATCCCTTCAGAAGGGTTCCAGGGGCTCTAAGCACCAGGCAAGGCAGCTGGTAACTCAGAGGCAATAACTGCAAACCAGGGAGCTGAAGCCTATGTGTACAGCTGTTTCTAAAATCAGCCTAGGAAGATGGAGAAGGGAACAGGGCTGGTGGCAGCCAGGGGCACCTGTGAGGTTATCTAGTTGAGCAGGGAGGGAGCTACAGATTCAAACGTAGACTTCTGATCTTTAGCTCAGGAACTGGATCTGTCGCCTCCCCTCCCCGCACATAGCTTGGGTTTGCTGCCACTGCAGCTGAGAGCTCTGAGTGTTCAGTAGTGACATCAATCAGTACCTCTGCTAGAGCTCCCAGCTCTCTCCTGGGAGGGAGGCACTGACTATTAAATGGGCCTCACACAGGGAAGAGGAAAGGAGTGGGTGTACTCAGGTGTACTTGAGGGCAGAGGGGAGTAACAATCCCAGATCTCAGCTGAGGAGGAGGCCAGGGCAAGGGAGAAAACACACAAACTCAGACGCAACTGCAAAAATCCAGCTGTGGCTAAGAGAGGCCTGAGAGGAGAGTGCGGCAGCAACGGTGGCAGCATGAGGGGGAAGACGAGGAGAGAAGAGAAACAGTGTGAGCATTAAGACAGTTCTGACTTGCACAGCACACTGCGGTCCCCTCCCCACCACTGTCCCATCCCACTGTCTCCTCCCCAAGCCCCAGGGCAGAATGGCATTCCCCTGGCAAAACCTAGCCTGCTGATATGCTGTGAGCACAGTACCAGCCAAACTGCCTCCTGGACAGATTACCAGTGTGTGCAGCTTGTCCTCCAGTTCCTGGTTGGTCCTCTGGGAAGCTGTGTAGCTGTTCTGCAGCCTGCAGACAGATAAAAGGCAGACCCCTGGATCAAGATCCTCTTCAGGCCCTGCTCAGCCTCTCCTCAATATTGGGACAAGTTATTCTCCCCACTCCTAGAACTTCAGTTTTCTAATCAGAATCAGATGACCTCTGAGGCCTCTTCCAGCTAACCTCCTATGAATGGGGAGATGCATGCATGTGTGTGTCTGATCCCTCATTCCCACACCTGCGGAACTTGTCCTTAAACTTGTCCAGCTCCTCACGGCTCTGGCCCAGCTCCAGCTCCAGGCAGTCCTGCCCGATTTCCAGCTCACGCTCCAGGGCCTCAGTGCGTCTGGTGGCTGAGGCCAGGCGCCGGCGAAGCTCTTCATTCTCCTGCTGCAAGAGCCTGAAGAGGTGGGGGGGGGTCAAGGGCAAAAGGTCATCAGAGATAGAAGGGCCAGCACAGAAGCTCCAGGTTGGGCTCAGGAAGGAGGGAGTCAGGATAACATGAAGGCAGGCAACTGGGTGCAGGGAGATTCCTGGAGACGCAGCCTGAGTCTAGGGCAGCGTATTCCACAGGCCTGCTGGCCCTGAGAACACAGCCTATGTTGGAGGGTAGGGAGAGGCAAAGAGGATGGTAGGGGACAGCCAACCTCCCCCC